GATCAATATGCCAAAGAAAAGGAGATTAAATGGCAAAGAGAGTTAAGGGGCATAGAAGGGAACAGCGGAGGGGGGGGGGGGGGGGGGGGTGATGGGGTGATGAGAAGTGGGATCTTCAAAATTTCATGTTCTTTCAAGCTCAGGACAAGCATTGAAGATTTTAATGCAGATTTTTTAAACTTAAATGCATTTTAACCTAAGCATTAATTTCCAACCCCTTTATTGTAAACGCAATGAAACCAGTTTTTAAAAACTCATTAATGATTAATTATTCAGTACTTCTTTTCTAAGTTACACAAAGACTCCTTTCTACTTCTGATTAGCTTTCTATCTATTTTACATCTTTTGAATCTGCCTCTGATTCAAAAGTTCTGTATCATCCAATGTGCATGTTGTATTCTGCTATTTGCAGTAACATCCTTACAGATGTATAGACCTGTCCCTCCACTGGAGTAAATGAGGAGTCCTGTATTATGTCTCCTGTTCCCAGAATAAATTGTAGCAAATTATGAAATTCTTGCTGTAAGGCCGGCATGGGCAAACTTTGGCCCTCCAGGTGTTTTGGACTTCATCTCCTACAATTCCTAACAGCCGTCCATGCCTGTTGTAACGTGTTTTCTGATTTCAGAAAGTGACTCATGACATGGACATGTGCTACGGAATGATGGGAAGCCTGTTCCGAAGCGGTTCCCGACAGACTCTCTTTGCCAGTCAAGTGATGCGCTATGCAGACCTCTATGCAGCCTCTTTTATCAACCTCCTGTATTATCCCTTCAGCTACCTCTTCAGAGCTGCCCATGTGCTGGTGAGTCCAAATTAGCAGAACTGTTCCAGCCCAGCTTACCTGTCTGAATGTATCTCTCTCTATGAACTGTCACGGAGGTTATGATCTTCTGGAGAGGCCCTGCTCTCGGTCCCACCTCCGTTGCAAGTGCGGTTGTTGGGGATGAGAGACAGGATCTTCTCAAGTGGTGGCTCCTCAGCTCTGGAACTCTCTCCCCAGTGAGATTAGATCAGCGCCCTCCCTCCTGGCCTTTAGAAGGAAAACGAAGACGTGGTTGTGGGACCAAGCCTTTGGCCAGTAAAATAATACAGTTCAAATAATAATTAGGAAAGATGTGCAATGACAATTGGAATGACCATGGTGTACTGTTTTTGGATTGTGTGATTTTAATATTTATACTAGGATTTTTGAAAATGCTTTTCAATGCTTAAATGTTGGCTATGTTTAATGGTTTTAATGATTTTAGTTTATACTTATATGTTAGTATTTTGTTATTATGATTTCATTTTTATTATGATTTTTTTCTGTCTGCATGTATGTTGGCATTGAATTTTTGCCATTAGTACGTTGTAAACTGCCTTGAGTCTCCACTCCCCCTTTGCGGTGGGAAAGGTGGTACATAAATATAGTAAATAAATAATAAATAAATAAACAAACTGCATTCTAGTAGACCAGGCTGTGTATATATTTTCTCAACCTCTCATCACAGAGAGAAACATGCCCCAATCAGAATAAGTATATATTGTAACGCATCAGAAAGAATCCTTTAAAATGAAAAGATGTGATTTTGTCTCCCTGCAGATGCCGCATGAGTCGACCGTAGAGCACACCCACGTGGATATCAATGAGACAGAGTCTCCCATGGCCACCCGCAACCGCACTTCTGGGGACTTCAAAGACTCCGACAAACGCCACCAGCTGACCCGATCTGTTAGTGAGATTAAACCACCCAACCTCTTCCCTCAAACTCCCCAAGAGATCACACATTGCCATGATGAGGATGATGATGAAGAGGAGGAGGAGGAGGAGGAAGAGGAGGAGGAGGAGGAGGAATAATGATAGAAATGAGAACACCTCCTTCCATAAAGTGTGGCTGTAGCAGTAATTGGCAAGAACAGATTCCCACTTGAGAGTCCTAGGGCATGGGGTGGGAGGGAAAAGCAAATCGACACTAATCAGAAGCCCTTTGTTCTTAGCAAGTTTATTCTTTGCAGACCTATTCCAAATGTAAAGGATTTTGCACTGGATGAGGTAAGACAAGATGCCGATGCCTAACTGCATTGCTCCTCCCGTGGCATATGGGAGGAGGGGGCTCCCTGTGTGTTCCTTGTTCCTCTTACTGGTGCATTTGATTAAAACTGCCTCCCGGGGATGTTTGGAATTGGTGCAGTGAGGCTGCCCCTCGGTCGGTCTTGCAGAGATTCCAGTGAGTGGCCCAGTGACAATTCCTTAGCGTTAATACCTTTTGACCCCGTTAGGGACAAAGATGTATTTCAGTACTTCATACTGTATGCATGGAAGTGACAGTTTACTGCCAGGGCTGAGTCCATCCCTGTAAAGCACAAGTTTGCTTTCTGCAATGGTTTAATCTTCTAATTCTAGTGGAATTGGGCTTCTGCTCACTTTCTGTATTTTATTTGAGAGAAGCTAATTCCAAAGTTGTTATGACCTCTATCCTTGGCATGTGGTGCATGCATTCTAGGATCTTTTTATGATCCTTATGCCGTGTGCTTGTTTTCCCCCTGAATTTATTTTCACTAACAAGTGGTTCCTTAACAGATTACGTTTCTGCTGTATTCAGTGAGTAAAGGGAGGAGGAAAGGGTTATTTGGATAGTTTTGGGAGAGAAAGAGAGACACAAATAGTTCCCACAAAGATAAAGGGCTGCAGAGTGTGGAAGGGAAGATTTCAGGTCTGTGTCTCTTTAAGGGCAGTCTGTAAGATTTTGTGATTCAGTGGGCAGCCTCTCTAGTCTCTGATACCAAGTTCCCATAGATATAGGCGTACATGGTCCTGGAACCATGTCAGAGAGAGAGGGAGGGAAACGCAGCCTTCAGCAGGATGTCCTTAATGAGGCCACTCTGTTTTACCTCCATTCCAAGAATGAGACTAATTGAAGGTCTGCTCCATATTACCTGTAAACGGCTCTGTGGGCCTGGCCTGTTACCCTGTTCATGCAATTATGTGAAAGCACACTTTCCTCTGAATGCAAGGCAGGTCGACTTTCCCTCTTCATGCAGACCAGCCACATATACTGTTTTCCTGGGATATATAGCACATCCCTTACCATACTGTGCCATTTGAATATAGAACAGAGGCCCTATTTTAAAGTATTAGAACTTTTATTTTGAATCACTTAATTGTAATTGTAATTAATCTTATTCCGTTATTAAAATAGATTGAACTTCAGCAGGACAAAGCCGGTGCTGCTCTTACGGATTTGGAAATAAAAATTATAACGTTTCATAATGAGCAGCTCCAACATCTACAAAGGGGGGGGGGGGCGAGAAGTGGGTTCATCAGTGTTGTATTACTTGCCTGACAATATGGCTTATGAACAAGGTGAAAGGTTGTATTGTAAATAAAACATGCTTTGAAATTTATTCTAAGGAATATGGTTATGTGATGAACAGATGCATTCATAAAATAGAGAAATGTGGGGGTAAATTGTCTTACAGCCTGGCTGAAATATTGACTAACTGCTTGGTCTTTATCATAGAGCTGGGTTATATAGTAGAAGAGTTATATAATGCCACTATAAGAATTAATATGGGCAGATCCTTTCTGGTGAGGGACATGGCAAAGCCCTACACACTGCTCAGTGGATTGAAGATTGAGAAGGCAGCAGGAAAAAATGGGCAAACTATCCTCTGCCTTTTATATTCAGAGAGTAATGAAGTTGGGCGCCTACTATATATTAAGAAGGAAATCATTTTTTTATTCTTACAAATTAAAATAACCAGACCTTCCTGCTTCTGTACAGTTGAGCCCACCCCTGGCACTTCGATTTGCTATAACTCTGTCATAGTATGGAACTACTATTGTAGATGCCAATGTTTTTAACTCAAGGCTATGTCCTTGCCTTCCCTTATCCAGAGTCCATAGCATACAATATTTAGATAGTTTGAGAGTTGAAGCATGGAAATATTGCTTTAAAATGACACGTGTACACAGAAATATTGTATAGTTAGCCTCCGATTGACTATACAAAACAAATAGTAGTGTTGATCCCAAAAGAATAGGCTATACTACTACTGCACTTTTATGAGCTAAATTGACATGCCAGTCATTTACAACTGGCCACCCTTAGGCCTGTATCAGAGAACGGGCATACCATTTGAGGAGATGCCTAACATTTCTCCCATAAGCACTTACGTAGAGATTAAGGGAAGTCATACAAGTATATAGATTGATCTGATGGGGGCATGAAGGGATTAAAAAAAACACTTAGACTTCATGTATAGCCGTGAAGTTTACAAACAAAAATGATAACTTTAATATTCTATGGAAACACGACAGCCATAAAGAGGGCCAAGAGAAGTGTGTTGATCCGTGTTTCTCAACCTTCCTAATGCCGTGACCCCTTAATACAGTTCCTCATGTTGTGGTGACCCCCAACCATAACATTAGTTTTGTTGCTACTTCATAACTGTAATTTTGCTACTGTTATGAATTGTAATGTAAATATCTGATATGTAGGGTCTATTTTCATTCACAGGACCAAATTTGGCATAAATACCCAATACGCTCAAATTTGAATACTGGCGGGGTTGGAGGGGATTGATTTTGTCATTTGGAAGTTGTAGTTGCTGGGATTTATAGTTAACCTACAATCAAAGAGCATTCTGAACTCCACCAACGATAGAATTGGGCCAAACTTCCCACACAGAACCCCCATGACCAACAGAAAATACTGTGTTTCCTGATGGTCTTTGGCAGCCCCTCTGACACCCCCTCATGACCCCCAGGTTGAGAAACACTGGTGTAGATAGTGATAGCAACAGGCAGTAAAAGCAAACACTTAAAAGCTGGCAAGAAGTGATGGGATCCACGGAGTACATACCAAACTACAGAATTCGAGAGTTTTCCTCCCATTGTGTTCTCACTGACTACCTGGAGAGTGTCCATTTTTCCTGACTCCTAATCAACATTTGCCAAGTTGCCCTTTGTAATTCATGTGACGCTTGAAGTGAAAAAAGCATGAACAGGGAAGGACAACAGGGAAAAATCATTTATCTAATAGAAATACACTTTTTCAATAAAATCGCAAAAATATACAGATAAATCAGGTTCAAAATAAATAGAAGTTGGAAATCTGCAACACCACTAAGTAATCCATTTTATGAAACATATACATTTCATTTGTGCTTTTTCAGACTTTATACATAGGCAATATGGAATACTGTCAGCAGAATGTTACAATTCTGGAAGAAATTGAATAATTTACAATATGATACAATTTAGCAACTGTCCCACAAGATGGGAAAGTATAGAGGTTTTGGAATGCAGCGGTAAATGGAAATAAATTGCACAGGCATAAAGGCAATGGCATAACTCCTGAAAATCTACACAGTGCAAGGGTTTTGAAAGAAAAATAGGAAACTGCCAAGGAATGACTGTTTTCACATGGGACAAAATAAGGTTCAACAAAACGTCTTGGTCTATTGCATGATGGCTTAATGTACACGCTGCCCCTGAGAAGAAATTGTTCTTGGAAATGGGAATTTTTAGTTTTGGAACCATACATTATAATACCTTCCCATATGTTGTGAAATTCTAACAAACAATCTCTTTGCAGGGTGCTTTTAAGGAATTATTAGATCCGTCATGGCTGTCTGCTTGTTCCCTCCAATTTGTGAGTTACAATCAGAGGGCAAATTCCTGATAATGCCATATTTAATTAACTTTAATGGAAAACGAGTAAGGGAATAGAACTGTAGCGGTAGAATCAGCGTTCCTCACATCATCAAAGCAAATAAAATGTCTTAAGAAAAGCATAGCAGCCCCAAATTTGCACTCACTTAACAAATGGCCAGTTAAAAACAAGAGGCAGGAGAGGTCACTTAATCCCAGATAAACAGAAACTTTTGTGTCCCTGCACAAAAGTGTTTCAGAGCCAGTTCACCTCTGTACCAATGAGATGTGTGGGCTCAGATTGCTACACAGCAGAAGCTTTTGAGACACTGTGAAAGAAGGTGTCTTCTACCTTCTTGCACAACACTCCTCACATTGGGAAACGCAGTTCTGCCCCCCTGACTGCCTCGTGCACATCGGGAAAGATGCTGAGGGCAGAGGTTATGTTCCTTCTTATAGTGTGCAAGGACAACTAGAAAGCACCCGGAGCACCCATAGAGTTGATCAGTAGCTAGGAAGGATGGAATGGTGTTACCTGCCCAAGGAGGGAGTTCTGCCTTGTCAAGAACTGTGCTCTGCCGACAGGCTTTTTGACTCCTTCCTCTTCCAGTGAGTACACTAGGCATTACATATTCATGCCAAGCTCTCCTCAGTTTTAACTGTCACAGCCGCAAAAGTAGTGACTGTCTGCTTTTGGTCATCCAGATGTTTTTGGACTTCATCTCCTAGAAGCTCAGGCCAACATGGCCAGTAGTCAGATAACCTGCAAGTTGAAGCCTAAAACACCTGGATGAGCAACCACTTCTCTTAAGGCTGTAGTGGAGAATAAAATGGTGAGAAGGTGGTTCTTAACTCTTGTGCATAAAGAACTGTGATGAAAAGAGAGGCTGCATTTTGGCAAATCCAGCTATGAGGAGAAATACACAGGGAATTAAAAATCCATGTGTGTGTGTTGCAGAGAGAACAGAGAAGAATTAAGTATTTCCACCATCCTAGTCTTCAAGGTTACTTTTCATTTTAAAGAGAAGAGAAATAGTCAAATGTTACATGCATCTGTGCATAACATCCAGTTCAACACTAAACATTGGCTTTATAATTGAATAATTTGGCAGTAATTCTCTGATTATAATTCTGCATTTGCTTGTGTGTTTGTTTATGCGTATTCAAGAGGAGAAATGAGAGAGTGACAGGACACAGGATAGAATCAAGTGAATTCCCATCATAACTGCATGTGGAAGAAAAATTGAGAGAGAAGGCAACATTTCAAGAGGGATCAATATTTCTCCACTCCTCTAGCAATTACAAAGAATGAATTGCAATCCTACATTCTTTTTACATTATCATCAAGGTTAACTCGTTGCTTAATTGATTCAAAAACCCACCAGAAGATTGTCTGCATTTCAAACATTTTGCCAAAAGGCAACCCATTGGTGTTAGCAGCATTGGCATGGCAGCTGGAGACAGGCACTTTCGTGGGAAAAACATTCCAGCAGCCAGCACTGAGAAGATAAAACAAGTAAATTGGTAAAACTTAAGTGACAAAGAATCAGATTATCTGACATGATCAACTTGAAAAGGGGACAGAGCCAGTCTTCTGGAGAGGATCCAATACCAGGCCCATTGTGAACTAACATATGCATGTAATTCACATAATTGAGTCACACCTCAATTGATGGAAATTACATGTGGTTGGGAGCCCACTTTGGAGGCATTTGCACCAAATTATAGCCAAGCAATTAACTTAAACCAGCATGCTTGCATGTTCTTTCTTTCCTTTGATATTTTACGACTCCCCAATACGGCTGCTCAGGAAAAGGAAATACGGAGACTAGATCAGGAAGACCCTGGGCCCCACTCTGGCAGAAAGGTGGCATACAAATGCAACAAATAATAAATAACACAAAGCATCATGGTAGACATGCTAAATGAAGAAATAAAGCTCAGTGATGGGGGTGGGGAGGGTCCACTGCACCAGAATCCAATTACATTCTACCAGTTGTTAAACATCCCAGTAGGATGCCATGTTTTGGAAATTCGAAGACTTCTTGCTGTACAGAGCAGGGTGGCAACTGCAAAGGGACAGAAGGGTGGTTCTTTGCCTGCATAGTGAGACGCACTGGCTTGCCTGTACACTGAAAATGGTGTCATACAATTTCTGCTTCCCATTTTGGTCACCTTGTGCCAGTTTTGGTGGGATGTAGGGGAAAAGGGGGTAAACCATTGTGTTTGCAGGCAATTCACACATATTTGGGTCTCTTTTGGATTGAAAATCACCTGAGAGGAACAGAATCAGGAATCAAATAGGCAAATTATAAATCTGGGTTGCTGTGACCTCACAACCTCTGAGTGCGCCTGCCATAGATGTGGGCGAAACGTCAGGAGAGAAGGGCTTCTGGAACATGGCCATGCAGCCTGGAAAATTCACAGCAACCCAGTGATTCTGGCCATGAAAGCCTTAACAACACAAAATACAAATCATTGCAAAAACAGGCTTTTTTCTGATGCTCTACATTCAACAGGTGAGGATGATTACACCAGTTCACACTTTTCCCCTAAGGATCAAACACTCTTAAAATTACCTGAAGTTCCTTCTCTCAATACTATACAGTCCAAAGCACAAATGGTCCAGAAATTATTTCACACTTCCCTGTGAAAATCCCACCAACTGGACAGAATACTATAGCAAACAAAGTAAAGCAGCTATAATCAAAATAACTTAAGTGTCTACTATTTCTATCCTTTCCTGGTTACTCAAGGCATGTCTGATACTAAACATTGCCACCAATTGTATCAATGCAATAAGGAAGCAGGATCAATATCACCAACACTGAGGAGTTTGTCTAATTTTTAGTGCTTTTGTTTGACCTGTACTTGGGAAACAACCAAATGACATAATGCTAAGTACACACAAGGTAATATCTGTTTAGCATAGCAAATAACCATACAAGTTATACCTCTACTCATCTTTGGTCTCCTTCCCATAACAGCCACTATGTAATATGCTTCTACGAGCCTTCACAGTGACCCTATGTATTTTATAGGGTTTTCTTAGGCAAGGAATATTGAAATGTGATTTTTCATTTCAAACAGAGCCTGGAAATTGTTGGCAGTCTCCCATCCAAGTACTAACCACAGCTGAGCCTGCATAATTCCCAAGATCAGCTGGGATCTGATTTTTTTTTTCGTGTCAGGAGCGACTTGAAAAACTGCAAGTTGCTTCTGGTGTGAGAGAATTGGCCATCTTCCCAGAAGGCGCTCAGATGTTTTGATATTTTACCATCCTTGTGGAAGGCTTCTCTCATATCCCCGCATGGGGAGCTAGAGCTGACAGAGGGAGCTCATCCACGCTCTTCCCAGATTCGAGCCTGCGATCTGTTGGTCTTCAGTCCTGCCAGCACAAGGGTTTAACCCACTGCACTACCAGGGGCTCCTATGGGATCTGACACCTTTAGGGTATTTGGAGGTACATTAAAACTACCAGGTTGCTGCTCATGTTCAGTGGCTTGCCACAAAACGGCAGAAACATTTTAAGAGCAGCATGAAGATAAAATGATGACAATGGTTAAACAAACAAAACCACATGCTGAAGGAACTATAAATGAAATTTCAAAGAAGCTTTCATGCTGTTATTGTATAAGAATTAGGACTCAGTCCTAGCTCAATGGCTTCTTCTGGACAATGACAGAAAAGGCTGCACGCTTCCTTTAAAAAGATCATATGAAGCAGCAAGGCTGAGCAAAATTACTTGTGCTATTTTGATATTCAGTCAGACTCATTGACAGTGCGTCTCTGAATTGCCTCATAGTCTCCCATTTCCAACTGCTAGTTTCTGGGCCAACAAGGGTCAGTGTATTTAATTGTCACAAGCCTAGTGAACTTTTTCAGGCTGCAGAACTGTCAAAATATCAGAGCTCCCCCCAGTGCTAAGCTAGGCACATTGAATGTGTGGATGAGAAAGAACAATATCCTTTTCATTCATGGGAAAAGATCAGACGCTTTCCCCTTTTACTAGCTGACATAGTCCATATTTCTCCAAGAACTGGGTCCCAAGGTGCACGAAAAAGGGTAGGATTGAGAAAAAGAAGGCTGATACGTACATTCATGAATAAAATCTAATTCTGTACCACTAGATACATTGCGATGGCGCAGTGAGTTAAACCCATGTGCCAGCAGGACTGATGACCGACAGATAAGAGGTTTGAATCTGGGGAGAGCAGGCTGAGCTCCCTCTGTTAGCTCCAGTTCCCCATGTGGGCACATGAAAGAAGCCTTCCACAGGATGGTAAAACATCAAACATCCAGGCATCCCCTGGGCAATATCCTTGCAGAAGGGCAATTCTCTCACACCAGAAGCAACCTGTAAGTTCTCAACTCCTGATCTGGGGGGACGGGACGGGACTAGATAGAAAATTACTTTTCAAAACATGCAAATGCAACACATTTGCCCAACATAACACATTCAGTTCAAAGGCATTTACACCAAACACTGGAAAATTTCTTCAAAGATAGGTGTTTGAAATATGAAAAAGTTTTCGTTTAAAAATGACTTCTGTGGTAAAAACTATCCACACCCAGCATATAAAATAAATGTTGAACGGCCACAACTTGCTAACAAATGACTGACTGCACTTAAAAAAGAAAAAAAAAGTGGTGGACTAAAAGTGTCTAGAGAGTAATAACAAAATAATCTGGTGGATCACTTTGCATGCTGCAGCTTTGTGACATTTGGGCATTAAGAGATCTGTGATCTCTGTGATGATGATGACATTTGGGCATTAAGAGATCTTTCCCTCTCTATGATGCAAATCATCCATTTTTATCCTCTAGATATTCCATTTTTTATTTTTTTATTTTTGAAATAGCAGCAATAATTAGTAGATAACATGGGAACCACATTTTGAAATTATTTGAATGATATTCCTAGGGGTATTAGCTAAATTCATATTGCCTGATGTGCGTGAATTTTCTGTATTACATTTGAATGCACATATACAGATATATGTCCATTCAAGTTTAGAGCACAATGGAGCAGAGAGATCTCTCACCAGAAAGAAGAGGACAACTGCTGTGAAGACGGAGACATCAAGCAACATCAAGGAGACGAGTTTCACAATGCTGTCCATTATTTGAATTGAGAACAATCTCCCATAACTTGGCTTTGGCTGGTGACCTTATTCAAGTATTACATATTCTGTACCACAGAAAAATTGGGAAGATATGCCTCCAAATCCCAGGGCCATTGACCTCCCGATTTTGTTTTTTTCTAGACCTTAATGATAGCAGTTACATGGTAGTGATAAGAATTCAAAACCTTAAGGAAAGCCCTACAAAAGCTACTTATGTTAGGTCAGGAAATGTTTTTGTGCACCAATGCTTGGTAGAATTCAGTGTGTGTTATGGATAATACAGTATTTTTACAACAGAGATGCATGAAGTATTGGAATAAAATTAGTTAACCCTTGCTCAACAATGTTTTTCTTGCTTTCTAGCTATTACAAAAGTGGGTAACTGCAACAAGGACTCATTTTTGTTTCTACACCACCCTGTTTTGATTTTAAATCAAGTGATTTCTACATGCACTTTCTGGGATATTCATGGGTGGTTTTTTTGGGTGGGGGAGGGGATGCTGTTTTGAGAGTTGTTTCACAATAGCCGTCTATTCCTGGAAGGCTCTAACAGTGATTGACCTTTCCGAGCATTTCTTTACCTAAGAACAAGTGTGTGTAAGAGTGCAGGGGAATATCTGCAAAGAGGTTAAGGTGCGCATCTTCCCCTCCTGGGTTATACTGTACCAGCATAATGAAGACATCATTTTCAACAGTTCACCATTCCCAAGGGCACCATTGTAAGACTGACTGTTCTAAGTTTTGGATACTCTTCTGCACTGGATTTTAAGTACTTCAAATAGTCCTAAAATGTTGCCAAAAGCACAGATGAAGCAAGATAAAATGGAAAAAATTTAACTCTCCCTTATAAAACAGTTAAAGCGTCAGCATTTCCCAATCATATTGATTGCCTTAGCAACAACCTAAGGGTGCATCTACAATCTAAAATTAATGCAGTTTGACAGCACTTTAATTACCATTGACCAATACTATGGAATCCTAGGATTGTAGTTTAGTAAAGCACTGGCACTATTTGGCAGAAAAGGCTAAAGACCTTGGAAAACTACAACTCCCAGGATTCCATGGTTTTGAGCCATGGCATTTACAGTGTCAAACTGCATTAATTCTACAGTGTGGGTGCATTCCAAAATGCCGTTTCATTAAATATTTGTGAAAAGACAGATGAGCATCCCAGGAAATAGCAACTTGCCATCTCTTCTTACAAAGGGACCGAAAGAAAGCAACTATTTGTTTTTTATATTGTGAACTGGGAAGAAATAGTCACTGCTAAAACGTGAAGGAATAATATTTATGTAGAAACAAACAGCAGGTGTTGTGGTGGTAGACAGTATACGCTTTTCCTAAAAGTACTTGCACGGGCGACTTCCTTTCAACCTATGCAAAACTCCTTTCTGCACAAGTAGAAACATCTGAGGCATGATTACCAAGATTCTGTCAAAGTGCAAAGAAAAACAATGGGAAAATTAGGGTGACAACAGGAATCAGAATCCATAGGAAATCAGTCTGGACATCAGCAGAGTGACTGTTGTGTGGAACATGCCCATCTCTCCAGATATTAATAACCATTATTATCATTCATGCTTTCTCACAAGCATTGAGACGGGACAATTCAAAATTACAAGGTCATCCAGTGAGACTACTGAAATGCATAATTCAGAGAGATCCCTCCAAAAAATGTACAGCATCCTGAGCTATGGGAGCTGGGAAATCCTGATAGGATTTCAAGTCTATTTTTCAGTTCCAGGTGGCTGTCTTGTATTGCTATTGAAACTTAGAGGGAACGTAGAAGTTACAAATATTCTGTATCATTTCTGAAACTATTTTTTCCTTTTTTTGCCCCTGTCTCCACATCCATCAAAAACACACTAATTTTATACCAAAAGACTTTTGCAAACGAGTGGTTCAGCATCCACTGACATGCACCTCTCAAGAAAACATTTCCTGGGAGGATTCACTTTGGCTACTAGCATAGCAGCATTTTTGGGTTGGGGTTGGGGATGAGGGTGGGGATTAGTGATCGGTGGGCTGCCCTAGGTATATCTCCTGGATCAGAATCTTTTTGTGGAGTTATGGATGCATCAACCACATTTGTGTCATTATGCAGTGACTCCTGGCCAAGCCCTCAGTCCCCACTTATCAAGAAGCAGCTGCTGTGATCAATGGAGGTCAGTTCCTTGTTGCTCAGGAAGCTTCTGACAGACATTCCCCAAGTTCTCCTGGGAGCAATTCCATTGTGAAAGAGAAAGGCAGGGTCCCTGTTGCAATTCCCCCTCATACTCGCATGAGAGGACCCCTCATAAGGTCAAGTCAGCTGCTTCCTAAACAATGGGAACATATCCCTGCAAATTGCAGGAGCTACTTCCTGGTAAATGGAGATGGGTGTCCGTATGGGAATACAAAGAGATCGTAAATATCAAACAGTTACACGTGCATAAATAAGGTTACACATTTGTAACTCCCCAAGAGTATTTCGGCCCTGGTCTTTGCACAAATTAAAGGGCAGATCAATCATTATGGTGTATCAAACTCTAACAATAAGAACAAGTCTAGGTATTGACTCAACACATTTGAGACAGAAGGGAACACCACCATACTTGGCTCTATTTGGCACGTGGTAATTTTTCCCCCAAACATTCCTGAACTATAAAATACAACCTCTTAACAGGAATGGTTTTGCAAGCACAACCCACAGAACAGAGGGCCTACACAGAAGGAGAACAATTCCCTCCCCAATTTCCCAATAGAGAGGGGCCAGAGGTTCCTTAAGTTTCATCCAATCTTTGTTCTTTACAAAACAAACACATTCTAGTACCAATTTGCCATTTCAACAAGGGAGAAAACAAAATGGCGAGAGGCTGATAAGACACGGGAAAGTTCACAAACAACACAATAAAGCTTAACTGGAAAGGCTCTGAAACATTTAAAACCACAATATATTAGTTTTAAAAACATGATCTCTCTTAACTGGAAAAATAAACATGATTCTGCTCCACTAGGAATAATTTTGTCGTTTACTCCTGAAGGGTGGCTTACTCCCCAGGCTTTGTCTAGGTGTTTGTTTCTTCTTCTTTTGTCCAGGGCCATCTCCTGTTCTCTGAGCTACCACTTTCTCCTGCTTCTTTTTCCAGCTTCCAGGATGGGCATGAAGTCTTTGGTCTCAGAGCATTGGAGGTGCAGGGCATAGCAAGCACATATTAAGTAGAAGACCTAAGGAAGAAAAGAAGACTGGTCTGGCTAAACAGAGGTCTGGGGCGTAGGAAGAATGAGATGCTGGGTGTCTGGTCCTAGATGGCACCTTCACTGTGCATACTGTGGTTGGACTTGTTGTGAGTCACACAGTTCTGTTCATTCAGCAGGTTCGCCATCTCATCTGGCAAACCATCATGCAGTTCTGTAAGAGTCAGTTCTATTTTAGTGGTTTCACTGTCCGAGGATTGAGGTGTTTTATCCATCCGGGATGCCATTAGAGCATTTTGGTATTGCTGTCTTGAGATCTATGCCAAATGCAAGCAAAGAGAAGTAGTATTTAATTTGCTGTTCTCTCTCGGAGAACCATCCCACAGGATTTCATAAATCTCAGCCCAACCCAACTTGCCCTTTGTAACCTCAAATTCATATTGTGCAGACCTGCAGTATTTCTGCTGGAATAATGGAATATAACAGTTCTACACAAAACAATTCATTGTATAAAGTCGTAGCAATTTCTAAAACTTTATAAACATGAATGTGTGTTTTATCCATTTTCTCCCCCAAGTGGTAGAAAAGTTTATCTCTTTTTCTTACCTTGACATACTGGATGTCTGAGATTGCTCTCACTGAGTAGTCTGGAACATACACTTGAACAAATGAAGAGTTCAACTGGTTGTTGCTATTCCCTATCGTTGGTGTCACAGCATCCATGCGATCCCCTCTGTTAAGGGAATCCGAATGATTCAAGCCACAAGAGCGAGGTGGTGATTTGTTTTCAGCTAAAAAAGGAGAGTAAGATATGCTTAAGAAAAGGAAGAAATTTTGAAGTACAGATCAAATCCTTACAACAAACATCAGTTCATGGGAGATCCCAGAAACTGAATTGACAAGATACATCAATAAGAATATATTCAATACTGATATAAGTTAGTTTCCTATTAAAATGCCTTGTTGCGAGAGCGTCAACTCTCCAAGGTGCAAGCTCAAACATACAAAGGGAGAGAAGAACCATGAAATGGGATTTTTACCAGCAATTTCAGACCTACTATAGTTAAGCTGTAATGCCTTTCTGAGACATGAATATTCTTATGGTATCTACCTGTGAGTTCTCAAGGTTTCCAAGCACCCCACCCATTTTTTTTCAAAAAAATCAATATCCCAAAACATTTTCTTTACTAAAAAATGCCCGCTATAGGTCTAAAATGGTGCAAAGGTTGAAGATTTTGCCAAACAGCTCTGTATATTGTCTAGGGAAATATTTATTCTATTTTTTAAAAAAATAAAAGGCAGCCAGGTTGCATAATGGGAATATTCCCTTTCAAAGTATCAGAGGAACCCCAAGGCCTGCCATTTGCTTATTCCTGACTACAGTTATGGGGCTATTCCAGTTTGCTACCAAGAATTGGAGTTACCATGCAAGACAAAGTACAAGGATGATATAAATACACGCATGCATGTTATGCATGGAAGCACTGAATTAATATTCACCCCCTGCCCTGCCCTGCCTTGGTTAATACTCGGTTTAGAAGTCCTCTAAGAGAAATGCATCTTTCATTTCAACTAAGGTTTGATAACCAGTAGGGACAAATCACTACTCAACTCAGTAACATAATGCATATTATTGCACTTCTGAATCACATCTGTTCTATATCCAGTTAATGCAATCTCCAATATTACATTTTGCCCCTGAAATTTGAAAGTGTATCTAAGACGTGTAGACAACTAGAAGATAAACAAGGCTGAAGCCTGATAAACACCAAGATTTCTTCACGCTATTCAAAGCATCTTAAAAGATCTGAACAATACCTCACAACTCAACTCTGGCTATTTTAAATACTGTTTCTACATAGATGTCATAAAAATATTCCAGAACTCCATTCACATGAGTTTGAAGTATTCCTGCAAACATATTTAGATACTTCAGTATTGTGTGCATGCAGCATAGCGGGAGTGATTATGACGTAAGGATACTTGATAGTATCCCTATAAAGGACAACATTCATGATAACGTAAAAAAAAGCTTTTTTCCCATTTCACCTTTTCCACAGTTCCTGATACATTATGGAAATTTTAAGTAACTGCACCATTAGAGAGAGTACTATCACTTATATCTCTGAGCTGGGCAGAAAAATAAATATGGTAGACACTAGGAATTAATAACAGGGGGAAAGCCCTAAGACAAACTGGGCCCATGAAAGCTACCAAAAATGACCCTTGAATCCAATCAACTCAGAAATGGACTGATTTTTTTAAATTTGTTATTTTTTTAAGTGCAACACAAAGCTATTTAATTCAATTCAATAAATGAAATGTAAGGCGTAAGCCTCTGTTCTAAGTAAGAAGAGTACTGGTACTCCATATCCACAGATTCTGCATCCATGGTTTCAACCATCCATGGTCTGGATACATTCCCTCCAAACACAAAATGCAAACCTTGATTTTGCCATTTTGTATAAAGGATATAATTTTACTACACCGTTATATATAATCCAACTTGAACATTCATGGATTTCGGTATCCAAGGCGGGTCCTAGAACCAAGGACTCTCTGTATGAGTAAGCTAACCCTATTAGTCTGATTTAAAAAAAATACCATGATATAAAGCCTAATAGATTTATTGTTGAACTAGCTGAACCCGCCACGTATTAACTGTGGCCAACTTCTTCTTCTTCTTCTTCTTCTTCTTCTTCTTCTGTGGCCAACTTCCCTCTTTCTCTCCTTCTTTCTTTCTCTCCTTCCTTCCCTCCTCCCTCTTTCCTTCTCTTTTTTCCCCCTTCTCTCCTTCTTTCTCTACCTCTTTCCTTCCTTCCCCTCCCTTTGTCTTACTCCTTTCTTCCTTCTCTACCAATTCTCTACCAATTCTTGGACTGTAACTCCCAGCAGTCCTCCTGATTGATCTATCTACCTATCTACTATCTATCTCTATCTATCTATCTTATCTATCTGGAGGATTGCTGGGAGTTGCAGTCCAGGAATAGGAAATAGGAAATATGTATGGATTGGGATGCTCTCAAAGAAATCCATGAAGAAGCAACCTTGCAACTTGAAAGCAGTGCATTTGGAGCATCCTCCTCCACTAAAGGGCCTGGTCTAGGGGATGCTGGGAACCGTTGTTTTCACGCATGTGCTGTATTGTCATTTAGCTTTTGGGGTTTTAAGTCATTTCCACTGCTTTTTGGGAGGGGTTATGAGTAATGGTTACTTGTTGGTCCGTTAGGAGTGTAGTGTCCAAATGTTGTGTCAATTCGTCCAGTGGTTTTTTATTTATGTTAATCCCACAAATAAACATTACATTTTATTTATATAGATTAATTAATGTTCACTACTGTATAAGGTGTATGAGAAAAATATATATGGTAGGGTCAAACAGCACTGACATAGGCTTTTCCATTTCATTCCCACATAAAGCTTAAGGATACAGAAGCTAACTAGCTCCTGTTTGTAACAGTCATAACTCATCTAAAATGGCTTTCCACAAGTAAGAAAAAGTGATCTTAAAATTAGACAAGATTAGGGATTAGACATTGCAAAAAATCTAGATATCAGACTTTATCTTCATATTTACCCAAGTAACATTTATTATTTCTGGTCGCTTCTAGTTGCTTGCGCTATGCTACTCTGCTGCTGAGTAAGCATGCCCAGCGTGGAACACATCTCACTACACTAAAACAGTGGATGTGGCTCTTAATGAGACATGCCGCATTATCACGGGGTGTCTGCACTCTACACCACTGGAGAAATTACACTGCCTAGCCGGTATTGCACCACCTGACATCTGCCGGGAAGCAGCAAGCAATAGTGAAAGGACGAAGACAGTGACATCTCCAGCTCATCCCTTGTTTGGGTATCAGCCAGCACGTCAATGACTTAAATCAAGAAATAGTTTTCTAAGATCTACAGAGGCACTCACTGGAACACCTCAGCAAGCGAGAGTCCAAAAGTGGCAGGCTCAAACCCAGAACCTCAATCAATGGCTGATACCAAATGAGAGACTCCCCCCTGGGCACACAGAAAACTGGGCAACTTGGAAGGTGCTGAACAGACTGCGCTCTGGCACCACGAGATGCAGAGCCAATCTTAAGAAATGGGCTACAAAGTGGAATCCACGACATGCGAGTGTGGAGAAGAGCAAACCACTGACCACCTGCTGCAATGCAACCTGAGCCCTGTCACATGCACAAGGGGCAACACCAGAGGCACTCCAAGTGGCCAGATACTGGTCAAAGGACATTTAATCAACTACCAAGCTTGCAAACTTTGTGTTTTGTCTGTCTGTTTGTTTGTTTTGTTAAAAATGTAATACAACTGTCTGGTTGCTCCTGACACGATAAATAAAAAAAAATAAAACATTTATTATTACAAGAGTAAACAGTAGACATACCATGAGGGTGCAGTGAAGTCTTAGTAATAAGTTTCATAAAAATGTCCCAAATGAGGTGGACCAGAAGTAGTGGCAACCGTGACCCATGGGTCCTTTGGTAAAATGTATCCTGGGAGCCTTTATCCCATTTAGTTTGAAAATAACCCAATACCCAACAAATCACCTTCTGATTAATGATGGAAATATTAAACTCAAATTAAATGGAAATGTTCTTTTTTTGAAGTTAGCAAAACACTTTTGTAATGCCCAGTTAATGTGCTTGTTTATTCCCTTCCAAAAGAACAGTGAGTCCTGACAGTCTGTCCTGTGATTGGACTCATGTTAGTGTTTCCCAAAATTAACATACCTTTAGCAAAATTACTGTGCCAAACTTACTACACGATGAAGCAATCTAGAGATCACAAGAACCTGCTCAAGTTTTCCTGTTAGAAGTACAACACTTAGCACTGAATAGTCAAGATGCCTCACAGACGGCAGTTTGAGTAACCCAAAGTATTTTCTCTTGTCAAATGTATCTATCTTGATCCATCTGTGGTGTTAACACCTTTAAGGATGTTTTTCCACCTCTTCTCTTCCTGACAACTCTCTCATGTTTTCCCGAAAATGATGCTAGATTAGACCAGCACCATGAGTAACTTGCCTATTTTAGAACTCACTTCCTGTAACAAAGCTCTTAGTTTGTTTATCCGAGTCATTTGTGTTTTTTGCTCCTAATTCAAGATCTCCAACTGTGAAATGCACCTATCATTTCTGCCCTTTGATTGGCCTCATAACAGTATTACAGTAACATGAATTTTGAAAGCCCTAAATGAATATGTATGAAAAAGGACAAATACCCCTCTACATCACAACACAGTATGTGACCGTATAAAATTTTAACTAGAGCACACCTCACAAATAAGTCAAATTCATCTTTAAATACACGGCTCTCTATAATGACAATACTCCCTGCATCTACAAACTCATTCTTTTCTAAACTGAATTCAAAAACGCAAAATGCCAAACTTAATGTGTAAATCCAAAGACCCATGAGCAATGGAAACATCATTCACAAGCACTGTAAACAAACATTACCCCAATTTAAGTTGTCGCTGTTTTAATTTGCTTCCATTGATTTCTTTTAGTAGTCCTAATTATAAGGACATCTCCCCTTTTAACAACTCACTTTTATAATACACAACTGCCATCCTGCATCCCTGAGGTATTTCTTTAGGTTTTTTAAGATTGGTTTTCTCCAGTCTTGTCCGACTCTGGGGTGTGGTTCTAATCTCCATTTCTAAGCCGAAGAGCCGGCGTTGTCCAGACACCTCCAAGGTCATGTGGCCGGCATGACTGCATGGTGCATCGTTACCTTCCTGCCAGAGCAGTACCTACTGATCTACTCACATTTGCATGTTTTCAAACTGCTAGGTTGGCAGAAGCTGGGGCTGACAGCGGGAGCTCACATTGCTCCCTGGATTCAAACCTGCGACCTTTAGGTCTACAAGATCAGCAGCTCAGTGCTTTAACCCACTGCGGGCCATATTTCTTTAAGGCTCCACGTGGCTAGTCACTGCAGCTTGACACATAAGTAGTACTGCATCTTCCCTCATAATTTGTTTGTTTCTTGATAACACGTTTAGCTCACTTAGAAGCAGTGTGTACACTGTACATACTGCTTCTATACGTACAGTATGAGCATTAATTCAGTTCAATTTGAGATTTTTTCATACATGCAAATGTCAAATTTTATTATTTTCACATGTAAAAGCTGGATCAAGTCTGGTGTAAGGGTTTCTTGGACAAGTGGCCATTCTTTTTCAGTTCCTGCACATTTTAGTGAACTAAACACAGTGGCGGCAACATCTTTCCTCCCAACCTCTCTGCTAAGTGATGCCATTCATTCCTTTTCCCTGCCACTGCACCAGTTAAATGTATCAAACAAGGAAACAGTACTGGAAGAGGAGATGTCTACAGTGGCTTTACTCACTGCTTCCCATGAAGGAGTGCCAGAAAAATAAAGTATTTTACACATGAACACACTTTTTTAACAAGATGACAATCCCAATTCAATTATAATGGTGATTTGTAATTATATATTATTAATTAACTAAGATTTCTTCATAAGAATGATATGATAGCAGTATGTGTAGGTGACAAGACTTTTAAGAACCACAGATCTAAATAGTATATGTGCAGGCGAGGTTCAAATCTCACAAAGAAACCACTAGGCTCAATAAATCCTCAAGCAGGAGGGAGCTAGTCACACGTCGGAAATCCACTGAAAAGGGAGGCTCAATCTGTGTTATACAATCCTATAGCCTCCAGTAGTGAGATAAGAGAACAAGCTTCGATGAAATAGCTATCCAAACTCTCTCTAAGGATATTCTCTCTTCTGTGTAAGGAAATAGCAATTGAGAAAAATACTTATTCTACCCTTCAGCAAGCGTGAAGTGAACTGATTTGCAAAAAAGGGAAGGCTAGGAGTCACTGCTGCTTTCTATCATGTGGTCTATACAACCACATCAGATTGTACAAAAAGCCTGGTGTGGGTAGTTTACATTTTTAGGAAACTAATGCCTAACTATAGCTGTGGGCATTATTTTTTAAAACAGGAAAGCATTATGATGAAGAAAAGGTTTTTTATGACAAAATGTTTTCCAAACACTTGCTTTTGTTTCAGCATCCTTTTACTGTTAACTAATAACAAAGGTGTGCTTAGGACATCTACCTGTCAAACATAAACTTCTCTTGAATTTCTCCAGCAAAATTGGTATTAGATAAATATAAGTCACTGATTATTTAGTATGGGTAAGTGCAATTACAAGAAGGGTGAACAAGAAGCATGCATGTTTACCTGGAGTACCTGCTGCTAACAATTCTGTTCTGCTGACAACAAAGGTACGTGACAGGGATAAGGGAACTAGAAAAGGGAAAGAAAAAAAGATGAGCTCAGGCCCCATGAGGATAAGAGATCTACAACTGACAGGGGAAAGGATCAACTTTCCACACAATTAAAATAAAATAAAAACATTTGAATTTAAAAGGAATAAAACGGTGTAAAACAAAAGTGAAAAGTGGTCAGGAAATTACTACAAAGCATATGTAAGAAATTAGAAGTCACTCAACTTCTAATTTCTTACATTACTAATCCCAGTAGGGGAAGAGTCAAAATAGCAGAGAAAATTAATTTATTTAATTCATTTACCATATTTATACCCCACCCTTCTCACCTTGAAGGGGGACTCAGAGCGGCTTACGAGTATGCAAAAATTTGAAGCCACATAAACAGACATGCAAACAAAAACATGTACATTAAAAACAAAAAAATCTAAACAATAAAACCAATAATTAAAACTGCACAATCTAAAATTATAGTCCAGAAGACATTCCAGTCATAATTGCACTTATTCCGTATCCACTTATTGCACTGAATTATTGTTCAAAGGGTTGGTCCCACAGCCACGTTCTTTAATTTCCTTCTAAAAGTCAGCTTATCTTATTTCGCTGGGGAGGGAGTTCCACAACCAAGGGGTCACTACTGAGAAGGCCCTGTTGCTCCTCTTATGTTTTTTTTTAAATGTCAGGAGTGATTTAAGAAACTGCAAGTCGCTTCTGGTGTGAGAGAATTGGCTGTCTGCAAGGATGTTGCCCAGGGGATGCCAGATGTTTGATGTTTTATTATCCTCGTGGGAGGCTTCTCTCATGTCCCCGTATGAGGAACTGGAAATGACAGAGGGAGCTTAACCCGCACTCCCTGTCGATTAGTAGTCCTGTCGGCACAAGGGTTTAACCCATTTTGCCACCAGGGGCTCTGTCCTCTTATGGTAATGCAGCAGGTAACATGGTAACACAACTAACAACAATAATATTAATTCCATAAACACATATATTCTGTGATAAGCATAAATCATTGATTCATTATCCTAGTGAGCCTTGCAAAAATAATGAAACATAACAAATAATGGAAGAGCACTTAATTCTACCAAGTGTTTCAATGTTATCAGCCACAAGATGACATCAGATGCGAATACTGAGAATTGGTGAGATTGTTATATACAGCAGCAGTAAACAAAGTTCATCAATCTTGCTACAAAATGGAAAATAATGTTTTTTTGCTTTTCCAGCAAGAGATCAGTGACATCCACCTGAAAAATTTGTTCCCTGAGAAGCAAACATATGTGGAGAAATGGGATGGAAAGGCTATGCCAACACACACTATTCAATCAACAAATCTAAACAGAACATACTGTTGTTAGTTGCGGAAAAACTATTATTTTTTCAGTCCAACAGTGGTACCATGATGATATTATGGTAAGCAGTTCTAAGCAGGAATGAAAAGAAATCACTACAGGTACATTATAACCTATAAAGAAATACTCCAGGATAAAACTCAGTTAATCTGCCCATGGGGAGTAAAAATCCAAAGCACATGCCTAACCTCGCAGCATGACTGAAGAGCTTCACTTTAGAGACAAGGGTAGGCATTCCAATAATTTGAGCTTCAGAAAATCCAGACGGTAAAGATGTAACCCAAATAAGTCTGTTCTGTTGTGGACTAGTTGCATCTATCACACAATGCATTTTTTTTACCATTTATTCTACAAAAACAGAAACTAAATAGCTCTCCAATGGGAAAGACTGGTACAGATTTATTTACTCTAGGAAATTATTTTCTTGTATTCTGCCCAACAACAGCTTTTTTGTTAAACTAAAAGACTTAGGGAACATACAGCAACTTCCAAACAGACCTATATCCCAGAATATCAAGGCAGAAAATCCCACATTATCTGAGTGTGGACTCAGATAACCCAGTTCAAAGCGGACTTTGTGGGATTTTCTGCCTTGATATTCTGGACTGTGTGGAAGGGCCTTTCCTCAGAGATTGTACCTGCCAGATGCCCCAGCAAGACTATAGCTCCCATCACATCAAGCCAGCAGTCACTGGTCAAGAATGATGGCAGCTGTAGTCCAAAGCATCTTGAAAGATTGTCACAGGAGAGAAAAATCTGCCCATCAATATTCTGAACACCAAAGCCCTACATCTGTTGCGTTAAGGCTAATTCTATCTCAAGCAATGTACATTTATATAGTGTTTTCATGCACTATTTACACCTGAATTCATCAAACATTGCACTGGTTTTACTATCTCTTTTAATCTCAGCCATTCAGCATGCATCTTTCAAAAAGAATCTTAGAGGTTAAAAAACATTACCTGGTGATGCTATGAGAGCCATCACTCCATAATAAGAGAAAGCACCAGCTTCAAACTTCATTCCCTCTTTTCCTGCTTCCACTTCTACTTTCCCCTGCAGAGAAAAAAATAATTAAATTCTTAGTTTAAATGTATCCTGAATTTCAGTTAACAATAGCCCCTAGGTAAAAAAAAAAAAAGAACAACGCATAGCTACAGTATTAATAAACACTCATCTAAAAGGACAATATTACAGAGAGTCGGTGGCTAATTCTTTACAGAAAGTAAGGAAGACTATTAGAAGTGTCATATATATGGGGAACAGACGGAGCTTGGAATATTGCTTTTTAAAAGCATAACTTTAAACATTAATGCAACTGATCACATTCTATCAAGAAAATATGTCCAGGCTTTTTGTACTTACGCTCTTCTAAGAATATACAGGCTCCCTGATATATCATCATGTTCACTACGCAGGAGGGTGCGAATTGGAATGGAATTGAAGATATTTTGCAATGCAAACGTATTCCCACACCTCACTGCACACATAATTTTATGAGCCTATTATTTTAGCTTCCAAGGCAAGCACACCTCTCCTTTCTTGGAAGTTAAAACTCAATGATAACAAAACATTATCAATTAAAAGGTAGCTGCATTTTCAATCCACCCAAAAGCAACTCACAGAGGCAGCTGCTTCATCATGCCTAAGAGTGCAAATACACATGGTAACAACTGCAAGATGATCTGATTCATATAATAAATACTATATCTGTAAATGTCATTTTAAAAGTTATTTTACTTCTGTCAGTGAATATGGAGCAAGGGTGAGACACATTCACATGGTAGAGCAGTAATAGGCATTACCAAGTCAGTAGGTGGTGCTGTTTTCTCAGTAAATATAATACTATATAATACTATGTCAGTTCATTCCAGCCTTCATCGCTGACCACACAGCGAATCAAGCATACATTTATTTCATTGGTTAAATAATGTATGCACAAAATGATCACAACTCCCTTATTTTTAGGTTGTTTGCAGCTAGTTCATTTCTCATCTATTCGCCTGACTAGAGTGATTGCCCTTATCCAATGCAGACTACACATTTTGGCTGCATCATGGTAGGAAAACCAAGAACTGCCAAGTGAGCATGATTATTTCATAGAGCTACGCAGCCAGGACTTGGCTACATGATGATGTCATTAAGGCTATCCAAAGCCAACTAAGAATACTTCTAAATTTCGCTGAAGATTAATCCAACTGGATAAATGTTAGCTCTTACTCTATCTGTATTAAGGTTTGCAACCTCTTTCAGCACAATCTCCCCAAACATGACATACAATGAAGTTTTTGCCACTCTTCAACCTATTTACAGAAAGTTCCCTTCTCTCCATAGCTCTGGAGTTGCTGGTAATGATCCAGTGATGCATTTATTTATTATTATTTATTTACCATATTTGAACCCTGCCCTTCTCAACCCCAAGGGGGGACTCAGAGCAGCCTCACATACTGGCAAACAATTCAATGCCTTAAAATAACATATAATTTTTAACATTATGACCTCACAACCTCTGAGGATGCTTGCCATAGATGCAGGCGAAACGTCAGGAGAAATGCCTCTAGAACATGGCTCTATAGCCCGAAAAAACCCACAAGAACCTAGTGATTCCAGCCATGAAAGCCTTCGACAATACATATAAACATTTATGTTAAAAACCAAAGAATTAAAAACATTAAAACAATTACATCAATTATTAAAATCATATACATGCTTGGCTTTTGAGCACGCCCATTCTTGCACTAGAGAACCTTTCTTCCAATGCAATCAACAAGAATTTTGATTACCAGGACCCAATCTAGATGGGGTATCTCATGCCTCCTCTTAGTTTTAAATGCCAGGCATAGAATTGTTAACTGTATGACCAGCATCTTTTGTCTAGTCTGGCCCTTTGAAACATAATGCAAGCAGGAAAAATAAGCAGCAAGGAGGCCTGGTTCTCTAGGATCTAGCTGAAAGTGGTAATGTTTTTAGTCGGCTGCAAGACAGAAAAATGTTCATATGGTCATAAGCCTGACCTGTAAAATTAAAATGAAGTAATCAATAGGCTTGTTTCGCTGATAGAGGTAGTATTCAGGGGCTTTCTTATTCTTCTCATCATATTTCAATTCCTGAATCACATTGGGATGCTTTAGCAGCCTTAGGAGGATCTTTTCAGACATCTGTGATGGGCCAAATGCTTCAACTTCTGAAGATATAAGATATAAAAACAAATTGACACAAAATCCATTATGAAGCTTTATTGATAGGATCTTGTAGCAATAAAAGAAAAATACCACAGGACCGATTTTGCAAATCCAAAATCAAAGTTTTATTTGAATTTTACCACAAAAATGATCCACTCCTAAAATTATTATCATTTAACATAACTAAAGAAATTAAAGCTTAATTTTATGCCCCAAAATACATGTCTTCCACCCCCACCCCCCACTCCTTCATGGATTAAACTCAATAGCTTTCAAATTTTGAAAGCATAAATCCAATTATGGAACACAGAATCATAGAGTTAGAAGAGACCTAATGGGCCATCCAGTCCAACCCCTTGCCAAGAAGAAGGGAAACTGCATTCAAAGCACCCCTGACAGATAACCATCCAGCCTCCACTTAAAAGCCTCCAAAGAAGGAGCCTCTACCACACTCTGGGGCAGGGAAGGACCACACAGGGAAGAGCCACACAAGCCCATGGAACAGATGTGATGCCCAGCCATTTTTGTGACCCCTAGAGCTTTCCACCCTTTTTGTTTAATTATCTAAATTCCAGAAAGTATTATCGTTCTTTAAAAACCAAGGTGCAGGGAAGTATGGGAGCTCCAGTCTAAAGATCGTGAGGGTCTCCCAAGCCTGCATTAAATGAAAGAATCATGGGAAAGTTCCATGGGGACCTTCATAATATTGGCTTCACTAGTGTAAAATTAAAGCATTGTGCTTCTAATTATCACTGCCTTCCAAATCAACTTTAAAATTTAGTTACTGCTCACTTCCTTTTAATGTCTGAGAGAGTCCATGCCACTGCTACACATGGTGGGTAAGAGTATATAGCGCTCACGTAGCTCTCTGACTAAAACTTTTGTCAGGATGCACTGCCCAATCCCGATTCTAGGAACCTGTTTGGACTTTGATAGTATCAAAAGTTTATAAGTCACACTTGCCTGTTGCTAGGAAACGGTGCATTGCCAAGAGTAACTGTGGTGAGATTTTAACCTTCATTTCACTATCTGTCTGTTTAAAGGCAGAGAAGTCCTGCTTTCTCTCTCGATGAGCCACTTTCTTTTTGGTCTTGTTATCAGCTGGAAGTGGAGGAATAAAGAAGGAAGAATTAGATTAGGGCTTACTGTAAACAGAGTGATAAGCTCTTCAGAGACAGGAAATTGATTGTGGAAGACCATGCAACAACTGCCAAAACAAGTAAAGCTTTATATAATAGTAGCAAAATGTCTAGGGTTGATGATACTATCATCACTGTCATAATCATCACACCTTTTCCCTAGTTTGTGACTCAAGGTGGTCTACAACCAATTAAAACAACACAGTTTAAAACTTTTGGACTACAAAAGTTAAAAGTGACTGCTTTTTAAAAAGTTAAAGAATGCGAGGCATTAAGAAAAAAAACAGCAGAAGAAATGACATAGAAAATCTTGTACATGGTACAAGGCCAATCCGTTTTAACCAATAAGTCCTCAAAGGCCTGTCAAAACAGAAAAGACTTCATCTGTTTCTGGGAAGGGAGGGAGGGAGGGAGGGAGGGAGGGAGGGAGGGAGGGAGGGAGGGAGGGAGGAAGGAAGGAAGGAAGGAAGGAAGGAAGGAAGGAAGGAAGGAAGGAAGGAAGGAAGGAAGGAAGGAAGGAAGGAAGGAGGGAGAATGCCAGTCTAACTTCTCTGGAGCCTGGTGGCAGCCAGTAAAAAGACCTTCCCTTGGGGTTCCACTTATGAATATAGCAGGACAGAGAGAAGGATCTTCACAGCACATCTCAAAACACAGGCAGGTTCATAAGGGAGAGTAAAACCCTTCAAACAGCTTTATAAGTCGAAACGAGTACTTTGAATTGTGTTTGGAAATGGACTAGTAGCCATTGGAGCTCTTTGAAGCCAGCCCAAGTGAGCAACCTTGCTGCAATTCTTTGGACCAGCTGCGGTTTCTAAACACCCTTCAAAGGTACACCCATGTAAAACATGTTTCGGTAACCCAATTGGGAAATAACTAAGGATTCATCTACACTAGGCAATTTAACCTAGGACAAATGTGCACTGTAGCATCCACAGTTCTGGTTCATCTCAAGGAAGCACAACTGCTCCTCTGGGGCAGCATATGCTTTGCCTCCTAGATGGCCATGGAGCTCCTTGAGAGTTCCTGGCCATTGTGGGTGTCTCTGCTGACACCAGAATGGGGTGCCTGCGCAAGCAGCATGAAGAAGGGGAGCAATCTCCCCCCCTTCTTTGTCATCGCACAAGCTCCCCATTCTGACATCAAAAGAGATAACGTCTTTTGAATCCCCACTGTGAAATAAAGAGATGAGACACAAGATGTAGAGAAATAAATGGGCCATTTCTTGATCTAATTAGAAAATTGGTAATTGAGCTAAGTAACTAGTTGTGGGGAGAGTACTGCGACATGGGTAATGGCGTGAGGCCAGGTATAATTCTCAGACTACCTGCCAAGCCAACCACTGGGTGAAACACCTGATTCCTGGGGCATGCCACATTGATGGTTTGCTATCCCAGCCGGTCATTACTGGAAGGCTGTCCCTGGGAACCTCCCATACAACCCAACAGGGGAGAGGCAAACTCCCCAAGGTAAGCCCTGAAGGAGATATTTTGGGGTACCCCCTAAGCCATAGAACTAACAGAAGTAGACCCAAAAGTTCCCTTTCTGACCAGAGATTAGTGATGGGCAAAGAGCATGGGCAAAGAGCACCACAGGATAAATCTTTCTTCTGTGGCCAACATAATGCCATCGCTACACAAGTCCCCAAAATTCTGTAAAAAGTATAGTGTTCAATAAGTTCATGCATATTTTCCAGGAGATGAATTCTTGTAACATCTCATTTTCATTAGGTTTCTCGGAGCAGAGGAATTTACTTTGACAAAAAGTTACCTTGAAAATATGAGGAATTATATCTATTGTGCAGATGCCCTCTTGTTCAACCTAGGATTTTCCCCTTCAGCTGTTATTAACCCTTTCTCCCTATTGATGGTTATCTCTTCCGTATGTGGCAGAAGACAGATTTAATCAGATAACTGAAGACAGTTCAGAACAGATATTGTTCCTGAATTGCCTGCCCTCAAACTACTTTCTCTCTCTCTGGTGATGCAGTTTTAGATTGTTTAAAAAGCTGCAAAACTTGCTTGAACAAGGGTGACAATGTAACAAAATAATGTACATACATCTTCAGAAATGCCTTCAATCCATTCACCACTCACACTACATCTGACTTTAGCTCATAGAACTTTGAAAGGAATGAGAAAGAACTCTGGGGAGAAGCCCTTCTCACTCAAAAATATGCCTTCTATCAGGAAATCTTCTGAAGCTTTCAAAGAAATACATTAAAGTCTTCTTCAAAGTCTGACGATACGTTGCTCCCTGAGGCAGCATGGCAGCCTTCCTCTTCTCCAGTATAAATGAGCTTGGCAGTACACTCTTAACTACTGATAAGCTGATGCTGTCTATGGTACTTGAGGGCAGAAGGCTAGCATAACAAGGCAAAAGGCACATTGCAGGACACAGAGGGCTTTCTCTCCTCCAAGAAGACAACAGGTCCACTATTACCAAAGTAGAACAATGCCAAGCATATATTTCACAGCTTGTACAAGATACAAGAAGCAAAAATCTACAATAAACATAAGTACGTTGTGTTCACAATACTAATAATAGTCTTTTGAAGAAGTAATGATATCAATTATGAAGAGCTTCTGCTTCCTTATCGAGATCTTCTGCAGGATACAACAAATAATGAGACATAGGTTCCTTGCATCTGGTACTGAGAATTGTGGAAGACCATGCAACAACTGCCAAAACAAATAAAGCTTTATATATGTCTAGGGTTGATACTATCATCACTGTCATTATTTGTCTCATTATTTGTGGTATCCTGTAGAAGATCTCGAAAAGGAAGCAGAAGCTCTTCATAATTGATATCATTACTTTTTCAATAGACTATTATTAGTATTGTGAACACAACATACTTATGTTTATTCTGGTTTTTTTCTTCTTGCATCTTGTACAAGCTGTGAAATATATGCTTGGCATTGTTCTACTTTGGTAATAGTGAACCTATTGTCTTGTTGGTTTTAGGGAATCCATTTCTTTTCAGACTTTCTCTCCTCCAACAGCTCCTCGGTCCTCAGTATATACAACTTAAAACATCTGTATCCCTTTGTTTTAGGGATGGCCTGGCTCTGATTTATCTGTCAGTAGGGCCTAAATACCCCAAAGTTACTAAATCCTGTCTGAACTTGGAAGCTAAGCATGACCAGCCCTGGTGAAAACTCGGATGGAAGACCACCAACAAATACCAGGCGCTGAAGGCTATAGTTCAAAGGAATTAACTGACAAAACCACTCTGAGGGCGGTTCCACACAACCCTTTAACCCGGGAGCAATCGGGTTTTAAAACGCAATTGTTCCCGGGTTAAAGTCCACACACACCCCAAAAAGCATGTGCTTTTCTGTGGAGGGGTGTGTGTCTACATGCCTTGCCAGGCTTTCCAGCAGGACACCAGGGCACAAACAAACTCTGCCAGAAAAAGTCTTTAAAAAATAACTTACCTAGTCACCATTCTCCTTTCTCCTGAGCAGTCCTGATACATAGACATGACATGCCAGGGGAAAAGGGGAGGGGGGTCAAGAGTGATTGTCCTTCCCTCTTCTCCTAGTGCACCATTTCTATGTGCCAGGAAAGCATCAGAGAAGGGGGAATATGACCGGGGAAGTTATTTTCTTTTTTTTAAGGCTTTCCTGTGGGGGTTGAGCCCTCTCAGATATTCCAGTCTCATGAAGCCCAGAAAACAAGAGAGAGCTGTGCAGACCGCCCCCTCAGAAGTCCCAGGACTTCTGAGGGGTCAGTCCAGACTCTACCCATGGTTGGAAAGACCCAGGTCTTTCAATAATACCTGGATTTTCCCAACTGACAAATTACTTTGGAACAAAGCAAGGTTTTCCTGCTTTGTCCTGAAAGCATTCACTTTTACATGGGGCGTTGTTTGAATGCCCCACGTGAAAATGTGGGAGCTCACACTTTTAAGGAGCTGTCTGGATATGCCCTGAGTATTCCTGCCTAAGAAAGCTCTATGAAATTCAAGTCAGCATAAGTTGACAGGTGGTAAAGTGTTTTCAATTCGACAAGAGTTCCAAATTTATCTCATAGCTTACCAAAGCAATTCTTCCTCAAACAACGAATAAGGTAAAATTTTATTAAAAGAAAGCAGTATATTGGTTTAATAGGAAACAGCACAGAAATTAATACTCACTGTATAGATCTGTCTCATCTAGAATTTCAGACTTGATAATCTCTTCAATTACATCTTCCAGGGTAACAATGCCCAAGACTTCATAAAAAGGATCCCCTTCCCCTTCATTGTTCACCCGCTGCACTATTGCCAAGTGAGATTTACCTGCACAGAGTAGTAGACCAAGAAATTAGATATTATTGCATAATTACTGATCTTCCATCCTTAAAATGAAACAGGTATCCTGTAAGGCAAGCACAGATAGTAAAAGGGATATTGTTAGCTTGGGAGCAGATGTCAAAATTTACCTAATACAGCTATACATCATTTAATGAAGTAGATGTGTATATGGACATACATTCTTTAACAAAAACAATTGGTACCAAAGCAGGAATAACATGGAAAGGATACAGATAGGTTCCTGTATCACAAAAAGGAAGATGTTTCAGTAAACTTTTCATTCAAAATTATGACTGTTGTCCCAGTCTTAAAAGCTTTCCTTACTGCTATTCAATTGTACAAATGCTTGCTGCTGTTTTTTGATTCTCATACTCAGCATTGTTTCCTGGCTCTGTTTTTTGAAAGTTGTATTTTGATGCCTCAACTTGTGTTTTACTTACCTTGCTGTGTTTTGATGCTGTCATTGATTGTAATGAAATTTGTTGTCGACAAAATTAACAACGAACACATGCAAAATGAAACAACCAGACCAATTAAGCCTTGTGAAAATATTCTTGTACCTCCTTATAAAAGGATGCCTTTTTTATTTATCAACATCCGCTTTTCTTGTAATTGCCATTCTGGTAGCCATACCTATGCACCTATTTCTTAACATGTGGGGGACAGTTGATGAAATAGGGTTATCTGCTCTCTCCTTCTCTTTGCTTTGTGATTCACACATGATCAGAAACAGATCTGGAAGTAGCTGGTTGTTATGTTGCCTGCTGAAGACAGGCACACACATGAGAGGATCAACTAGAGAGGCAGTCCATTCTTTCTCTGCTCAAGTTGTTGACTGGATTCTTTTCTGAAGACATACTGGTTCAACCTAACTCCAAAAAATCGGTATTTCTCTGCCACTCTCTTCCTCACTTTCCCAGTGAAACTGCACCTAAAAAACCAGAGTTCCAGCTAGACAGAGGATGATGAGGAAAAGGAGGGATGGGTGGGCATAAAAAGGTTTTGTGCAAAAAGATTTAACTTCAGAGGTTTTGCTAACTAAGGCTTATCTGTAGTCTTAGCCTAATCAATTTCAGATCTGTTAAACCTGCATTCTTACACAAGCTTTTCAGGAAATAAGTTTCACTGAACTCAGGTAGCCTGTCTGAAAAATACTGACAATCTAGTTACAAGATTACTCTACCAATTAAATATGCCAGATGCAGGGAAAACATCCAAAATGATTTCATTAGTTCTGAAACTCCTTTAGGGACAATAAAAAGTCATTAAAAGAATCAGAGACATGGTAAACCAACAAGCACTCAAATTATCTAGCTGAGCTCATTCATACTCAAATAATGAAGATATCCTGGAAAAATTAGAGACCACAGAAGAGACCTTATCAACAACTGTCATAAACACTCCATCAGGTCAAACCAATTCAGCTTAGTAAGCTTCACATCTGCTTTCCCAGGGAACCAACATAAGCAGTTAAAAACAAATTCTTTGTGAATGCTGTCTGTTGAAAGCTAAATTCTTTTGCTATTCCCAGCTTGTGATCATTTAAAAGGAATTTTCCAAAGCAGGGTCTAATATTAGACTCAAAATGAAGTTTCCATTCCACTTACGCGATATTCTCACCAAAGTAACTACTGCATAATCTGATTGTCTTGGAGCTACTCGTTTAGATGCAGATGGACATACTTCAAATACCAGCTTCACAGCACCAGCAAGACTTATCTTGAAGAGACTTTGTTTTACAACTGAGATCATTATTAGAATAATGTTTGTAGTTCAAATTATGTACATGATAATAAACTTTGTACAAGACACTGAAAATGGGCACGTTACTTCCTTTTTCAGTGTCCATTGTATGAGCTGTTCATATTCTAAGTCTTGGAAGTTCTATTGGAAGTGCATTAAAATCTACACAACGCTTGTTATATGGCTATAGACATTCTAACCATGTTATTTTATTGTTCATGGACTCTCTATATCCACTCAATGTTTAATTGTTCTGTTCAAATTCCAAAGTCAGACTTTTTGTCATGAAATAATTATAAACAGTAGAGATGTGTGATTGTGTGAAAAGCTCTAACACAACTTTTCTGATAACTCCCATTTCAGTATCATATGTCAGAAATAAATATATACATATATATATGGATAAAAAGTTCCTTTAAGAACAAAAGGCACTTAATATTCTGCATTACAAATGTTGATTCTGCATTAGTTATGTAGCTATGAAAGTAACATCTACTGGCCCCTCTCTTCAAACCCACCATAACAGCCAGCAACCACACTGAGGGATGAAAGTGTGTTCAGCTACGGATCAGGGTGCAAGGAGGACAAAGTTTCAGACCTCAAGAGCAACTGTGAAAATCAGGAGCAGGATCTCTGCAGCAGAGGCTACTTAGGACGACAAAGCAGTTATAATGTAATAGGCATAACTGAAACCTGGTGGGACAAGTCCTATAATTGGAATGTAGCAAAGATGATGATGATGATGATAACAACAACTTTATTTTTATACCCCACAACCATCTCCCCTAGGGGACTTGGGGTGGCTTACAAAGGGCAAGCCCACAATTACAAATAAAAACAGAGACACAGTTAAAATCACTCAATAAAAATAAAATAATGGAAGAGTATAACCTATTTCAGAGAAATAGATCAAACAGGAGCAGGAGTGGAGTAGCATTATATGTAAAAAATATTTACAACTGTGAAGAAATGCAAAACTTCAGTTCTGGAAACCAGGTTGAGAGCATCTGGATAAGAATTAAGGGAACAAGAACTGATAAAAATGTAGTTGTGGGGGTCTATTAGAGACCTCCAAGCCAGACTGAAGAACTGAATGAAGCCTTCCTTGACCAGATGACCAAACATGCTGAAAGAATATAGTAGTCATGAGGAATTTCAACTACTCTGATATTTGTTGGAAAACAAACTTTGCCAAGAGTACAAAGTCCAACAAATTCTTCATTTGCCTTGCAAACTATTTTATTGTTCAGAAGGTAGAAAAGGCAACAAGGGGATCAGCTATGCTGGATCTGATCCTAACCAACACTGAGGATCTGTGGTCAATAGAGTGGAAGTGGTGGGATCCTTTGGTGAGAATGATCATGTGCCCCTTGGGTTTGTGATACAAAGGAAGGGTGAAACTAAGAAGTCAAACATGCATACTAGACTTTAGAAGAACTGATTTCATTGAATTTAAAGAAATACTGAGTGTCATTCCGTGCAAAAGAATACTAAAAAAGAAGGAAGTCTATGATGGATAGGAGTTTCTTTAAAGTGAGATACCAAAGGCATAATTGCAAACGCCCCTCCCTTCTCCCATTACGAACAGCGAGGACTTTAAGATCGTCTGGAGAGGCCCTGCTCTCGGTCCCGCCTTTGTCACAAATACATCTGGCAGGGACGAGAGACAGGGCCTTCTCAGTGGTGACCCCTCGGCTATGGGACACCCTTCCTAGGGAGATTAGATCGTCTCCCTCCCTCTTAACGTTTCGGAGGCAAGTTAAAACATGGTTGCTTGAGCAAGCGTTTACAAATGCAGAGTAGCTAATATAGGATATCGAATGACTTGACAATGGAACTGGCCAATGCTTGATAATAAGGAGACGCTAATGATGCTGTTTTTATTGATCTTGTGTTTTATACTGTTTAATGTTTTAATCTGTATTATGTTTTTATGTGTACTGATTTGTTGGAAACTACCTCGAGTCGCTGATTGGCTGAGAAAGGTGGTATACAAATACAGTAAATAAATAAATAAATATTTGAGACTGCTTGGAGAACAGAAGTGAAAAGGAAAGTAGGTATATAGTGTGAAATATTAAGTTCAATATATGTAATTAATGTCTTCTTATATAGTTCTTCACATGAAGGTATTCAATTTAGCAACACTTCACATAAGTATTCCCATAACTTTGTTACACTTTCCAGTTTAAATATCAATACTTTCAAAAAGGAAAAATGAAAACAAACAAACACAGTTTTACTATAGACTTGATAATATTCTCAGAGTGTGGTAGAAGCTCCCTCATTGGAAGCTTTTAAATAGAAGCTGACTATCTGTCAGGGATATTTTGATTGCGCTCTTCCTGGATGGCAGGGGGTTGGACTGGATGGCCCATGTGGTCTCTTCCAACTCTATTGTTCTACGATTAATTCCTCATCATATTCTTGCTTTGATGTAGCTGTTAAATATAAATTGGGACTGGGGAGGGGGGGGCATTTATGATCATGGCAATACTGCTACAATAGTGACTAGTGTCTTAGGACTTTATCACATGAATCCCATTTTCCGTAACAGTTTCACGATTACCAATAGCAGCAAAATACCAGCATGACCATCATAGCTGCTGTACATCTTGGCATTTGCGCAACTGCACTAATCCACCAATCTGTGACTTTGCTCTTCTACTTCTTCATAGTCTCATAACCCACCCACCTTTTTGCACTTCTACTGCTTTGTAATTGTTTTTAAATAATTGTAAAGCAATTTTGTAATTTCAGATGTGGTTAATTTAAAAAACAAAAACAAAAAAACAAAATAAAAATACTGCCTCAAGATTAGCAGTGGGGATGGGAAGAGGAGGAGACTCCTGTCTTCTGACATCACTGTAGTGTTAGGATAGAAGCCGAATTATCCTATTGCATCAGGGAGTTGATGGGAATATGGTACAATTTGTAGTTATTGATGATTTTCTTATCAATAGCAGATGAGTTCATCATACGGAAGAGGCAGAGCATCAACGGTATGTGCCTACTCCAATGTCAGGTTGCCTCTTTCATGCATTATAGTCCTCAATGAATACAAAACAGTTACAGATCCTTAACTCTAGGTTATAAATATGTAACTGCAAAACAGAATGCTGGCCAATTTCTTTCTTTTTTTCAACATAAGAAATAAAATAAGAAAAAAAGAGTTGTATTTCACTGATACCTGTTATCTCCAACAATGCGTATTTTTCAGTTTCCTAATTTTAGCTTTCATA